CTGTCACAAACACTGGATTCCGACTCGCCCCCCACCCCCAAAACACCCCCCCCCAACCCCACTGTTCTCGCCAGGACTTCAGCAGCTCACAGTGCTGGGCTGCTGCTTGCTCACGAAGTCCGAGATGAAATCAAACTCATTCTGCCCCAGGAAGAGTTCGGGCAACTCCTGGATACGGTCCAAGCCAAGTTCCAACACGAGAGACGTCAGGACCTCCTCGTCGATGAAGTCCGTGTCGGCGACGTTAAGCCCCAGGGGGGGGCCGCCCATGTGCTGCATGCCTGCCAGCTGACCGGAGCCCATCCGGTACTGGGGGCCATTTCCCATGTGGTTCCCGTTCATGACCATGAAGGGGTGTCCGTGGTACTGAGTGTTGAGTTTCTGCAGGTGCATGCTGGCCATGAGCTGCTGGGAGGTCAGGCCCCCTCCCATGTACTGCTGCTGGGGAGCCTGCTGCTGTGGGTGCATGGGGTGGTGCTGCTGCTGTTGCTGGGGGTGGTGCTGCTGGCTCTGGCTGCTGTACATCATGTTGCCCGCCATCTGGTGATGGTGACCCATCTGCCCGTTGTTCATTTGCCCATTCATGCCCGCCACCATCCCCGGCCTCTGCCTCATCACGGCCTCCATGTTGGCCTGCGGCCCCGGGCCGTAGTGCATCATCTGGCCGCCGGGCAGGTTGCGGAGTCCCGGCGGCGGCGTGTGCTGTTGGGGCCCGGCTTGCAGGCTGCCGTTCACGCCCATCCGAAAGCCGTGCAGACCTCCGCCGCCACCGGAGCCGTGATTCATGGGCATCATGAGATGGTCGGCCATGACTTCCTTCGTGATTCACTGGGGGGGGGGCGTTGAGAGAGAGGAAAAAAACGGGACTATTTAGGACGACATGTAAAAATAAAATCGTGTTCCGTTTAAGTTTAATGGTGCGAGTTGTTGCGTACAGTCAGCAACAGAGACACGTGACCGTCACTGCGTGGGGGAAAAAGTACAAGTTTAGCAGCAGCATTAAAGTCCCTCTGCAGTAAGCAAACTGGATTCTCCCAGCATTTACATTTCGCGATAAAACCGCAAGAGCGCTGAAACACTACCTGGAAGGCAGCACCTTAAAACCGCGTTGCTTTCGGGAAAATGATCGCGCCAGTAGTGTTGCCCTATATTACGATCTAGTATCACTTAGATCTGCAGTTCTGGACTCCGAGCTGAATGCACTTCACGACAAACGTCCGATGTATATGAAAATGAAAAGGCCACTTAGTTTAACGACCGACCGCGGTGTAAGCTTTTTACCAATTGGCCTTTTCGGATCCATACAAACTGCTACTAGCTAAGCACTAAGATGACATTACAAATATTTTGAGAGCAGCCTGTAACATCGACCGATGTATTTTTTTTTAATATATATATTTCTATCAAAGAGCGACAGTTCCTTCTACGTGACGGTCCTGGAGAAGAGTTCTCAACCTCTAATTCTTCAGTAACAAATCTCTTTAGAAACTCCATTGTCACAATGGCCCTTGAATAACTACTCTGAATGGCTGATCCCTCGAAATGGCACTTTTATTCCAGGCGACAGTGTAGCCTACTTGGTTTCTTACACACTCGCATCAAGGTTTCATTCTTACTGCTTGTAAGGAGACACAACAGAGCTGCGCGTACTTAAGCTACAAAGCATCGTTTTCTAGTGTTAACATTTTCCCCTTCCCTTGAAAGTCGACAATTGCCGATTCGCTGCCGATCGTTTCCCCCTGAGATGCCTGCTTGAAAACAAAGATAGGCAAGCAGGCATTTTTAACTAAACACTTAACCCTTTCCTGCTCTGTGCGCTATTGCACAAGCAGGCAGTTCTTTGTGTCTTCAAAAAGAAATGGGTTCCTACAGGTTTGCATAAGCAGAACCCACTGACCAAAAAATTAGAATTAATCGAAGAATAGGTGCAGGTTAGTACATTAAATAAAGTGAATGCAACATCTCTCTAAATAAATGCACTGTCTGATGCTTTTTTTTTGCAAAGAAAAAGCAACACACACACGCACACAATACAGACCACACATAAACGAAACGAGGATATCAAAAAACAATTCTGAATCTAGTTATTAATTTGAAAAGAAAGGAGACGTTTTCTGCTACACGTTAAAAGCTGCAAACAAAGACATCATCGTCGCATCTACGGTAAATGTCTAAAATATGTATCTGCACGGATAACTAGGTCAGATTGCAGTAGATAATCCAATGAATAAGAAGGTAACAATAGATAAACCCATGGAGCACCTCACTACCTCGGTCGCGTACTGTATTTTTTAATAAAATATACATACCAGTTCACGCTCTCTCTACAAAGTTCAGTGACTTTGTTGCTGCTGTTGGCTAGATTTCTTTTACTCCGCACAGCGAAGATCCGAAAGATTAGAACATATATTCCAAAGGGTTAAGCTTCATACTCTAACGGGTCTGGAACACAAAGGCAAGCGCATCTGATCTTGAAACGAGTGCCTATTTTCTGGGTCAACCCCGGGATTATATACATCTAAAAAGCTCAGAGGCAGCGCGACAGAGAGAGGTGGAGCTTCCGGATCGCTCGTACCCTTTGTTGCGATTGGCCCTACTTTAATCATCGTGCACCAAAAAAAAACCCAGTGGATTCTCTGAAAGAAACACTGTGGCCAATTAGTTCCCTCCCATTTGTTTTTGTTTAATTTTTTTTCTCTCGTTTGAATAAGGACGGTCTTGGTTTAGTTCGGTTTACTAGTTTTGATTCTGTTGGTTAACAGAAGAAACGGGAGGCGCCAGTCAGCTATCTGTCAAAACCAAGAGGTTTACGAATCGGCTGTCTGTTCGCCTGTAAGTAGTTCATTAGCGTGCGTTGCTACTTTGGGCACCGGAGAAAAACACAAGGAGCAATACCTATTATTCCATCAGCCGATAAAACCTTGGCCATTTTAATATTTCCCCTCTTACGTTTAACCCACCCGTTCTTTATCCTTACTCCTTTACGCCTTTTAAAGCAGCGCAAAAGCTTCTTTTGAGTTATTTTGCTCATGCTTAGATGACAACACACGACGTGTCAGGACGCTCTTCCACGATTCCGTTTTTTTTATTTTCTATGGATGGAGATCTGTTTCACGGCAGCGGACTCCTGCTGTTAATGTTGGTTCAGTTAGCACAGCTAGTTTTCAGGTCTGTCCGAAATATTGTGTTGCCAAAGCGGAGTTTGTAGAGTCCAGTAATCCATCACTTTACCTGTGGTGAGCACGTTGAGTGGTGTTATTAAGTTATAAAGTACGAGTCAAGAAATTATTATGGTCCATCTTGTACGACCTCTTGCTGAGCACCATATGCTTTTGTAGAGCTCTACGCATAATTGATGTCCATATTTTTAATGGCCTATTTAAACATGCATGATAGAAATGATAATGATTTCTATGTATCCAGGCATTCTGTTGGAACATAATCACAGCAGAACAATAGTTACAAACAGGAGGAGGCAGTTCAGCTCACCTAGTAGTTAATAACTTAAGGATCTCACACAGCTGTTCCTTGAAGGTAGTCTGTATCGATTTTAACAACAGCTTGTACTGGGCAGCTTGTTCCATAATCCCACAACCCTTTGGATGAAGATGTGCCTCATGTTATCATTTTAAATTGGCTTTTTTATGGCTTCCCTGCATTAAATAATTCCGATGATTCTAATGCCAAAACCCTGCCCATGGGTGGCCTCTCCAGGTTTAGTATGCTGTTTGCTAACCTTTGATGATCTGTGTGTGATCCTGAATGTGTTACAAGCTTTGGAGAATTCCTGTGACCCCTGCCCACACTACCACGAACACACTAACTACCCTACACAAATCATCGGCTTGCACCCAGTATACCTGTGACCTACATGTCCAGTTTGGAGAGAGAACCTGCATTCTTGACCATCAGTTCGTAAGGGAAGCATTGTTGTCAGTCTCATGAAAACAATGATACAGTGATCTAATCTGACAATCAGTTGGTACAATCCTAGCACTGTCTAGCCATTTAGAGTATTTTTATCATCAGCTGACAACTGGCTGCATTTTAACATAGTGTGAACAACTTGTGCTCATTTGGAACATGCTCCTCTCTATTCAGAATCTAGAATTAATAAGTTGACAGTCAGGCTGTTACTTGAAACCAACACCAAACCCACAAGATTACCGTTTGTGTTTGTCTGCTTCTTCAACATACAGATACTGTCCAGTGTACCTTGTCATGCAGGAGAGCCAATGAGAGATGTTTACACTTGGTTTGGGATATGAACATAATAATTGCTATATTCCAACTGTATAAATATATACACAAAGAAGGATAATAATTCATAATAATTGCTTACACTTATATAGCGCTTTTCTGGACCCTCCATTTAAAGCGCTTTACAGGTAATGGGGATCCCCTCCGCCAGTGTGCAGCATCCACCTGGATGACTAGACATTTTAATTATTCTTTTATGTGTTATACAACTGTAAACGATTACATAACCGGTGATGGCACATTCTGTGAGCTACAAGAAACAAAATCATATCCAGCCTCTCGTGTCCAGTCCACGAGGCTGCGATGCAGTATCTCCTGGCTCTCACTTGAGCTACACTTTTCCGCCCCCTGTGAAAGAGTGATGTGGCCTGGAGATCCGGCGCGAGTAGAGGCCAGATCCACACTGAGGCGCAGACAGTGAGAAGACACAGCATTGGCGCCCTTGGCCCTGCTTCACGTGCGAGGGCTGTCTTTTCGGCGTGGAGTTAACCTCTGCTTGTTCCCATCCAGGGGAGCCACACAGTCAAACAGACCGCCTCCTGGCTGCCTGCTACGTGCGCCCGGTGACACAGCGACGTGCGTCCGTGTGACTCAGGGCCCGTGCGGCGTGGAGGCTGGGGGGAAGGAGCTACGGAGCTATTCTGAGAAGCAGCCCTGCCCCAGCCGCTGTCCCCTCTCTGCAGGCACAGGCTGTGGATTGTTTGCCTAACAAAAGCTTTCTCCTGGAGCAGCAGGGGTGTCAGATTACCTCTGAAGGGCTGAGTCCAGAAGTTGCTCACATGTTTATCCGTAGCGGGGGTGGGTGGAAAGCAAGCTGTGGAAGACTGTAAACACCCGTGGAAAACAAAGATATTTATTTTTATTTTATTGTGAGGCAGACATGCTTGCACGCATAATTACAATGAGACGGTGGCTTGTTTACCACTTTCAGCATTATAGTTTTGTGTGCTTTTTTTTAAGCTTTATTCAGTTTTCTGTTCTGCAAAAACCGTCCAACTGAAAAATGAAATGTTCTCAGGGCAATCTCTTGAAATTGTTGATGGCTGAGGCTAAAAGGAGAAACCCCACTTAGAAAAACACATGGTTATGTTTCGGCTGGCAGTGTGGAGTTGGTGCAAATCCCAGGTGAGAAGCTGTTGTTGTGCCCTTGAGCACGATGCTTTGCTCTGATCGCTCCAATAAATGCTCTGCTGGGCAAATGGGCGATCTCCTGGCCATCCTTGTAAATGTGAAGTTGTTCAAAATGGGCATTTCTGGATAAATAAAAGATTCGAAAGGTGTAGTAAACCCCAGTAAAATCACTGTGGAATAATCTAAGGTATGATTAGGAAAATCAATGCATGTTGTGAGCCCAGTAAAAAAATGATCAATTTGCAAAATCATCATGCATATTTACCAAGGTAAACTGTCACATGGGCCCACTGAGGTGAAATGTGAAAGGACACCTTTCTTGGCGTCATGCTCATCCAGCTGTTATTAGTTTCATTTCAGAGTTCTTTTCCAAGCTCCTTTCAATCAATGAATCACTGTCTTCAATGTGTTTTGGTAGTCTGTTCCTTGTAAATAAATGCTTCTTATTCTTTCATTTCTAATCTGTTATCGCTTAATTTCAATTTTTGTCCTCTGTCCTTTGTGTTTCTGAGTCTGAAGTACTCCTTTGGGTTGATTTTTCTCAGTTCTTTCAGGATTTTAAATAACAGATCTCCCCAAAGTGGCCTTTGTTCACAGATAAAGTGATTCAGTTCTTTCATGTTGTCTGTGTGTCATATTCCCTTCAGTCTGAGTATCATTGCAAATGCTTTATGTTTTCTCATTCTCTGACTGGTGAGAGGGTGGAAAAGTCTGGGTGCAGTACTTTGGATGAGGTCATAGGAAAGCAACAGTTTTCATTTTTTTCACACTTGAATTTAAACTCTTTTGCACACCCCAGCAATCTGCTTTTTATTACTTCCTTTCATTGTCTGACTGGGTATTAAAAGGTCAGCTTTAAATTCAGGATCTGCTGGCGCAGTACCACCATTTAATGTTTGTATTTACGCTTAATTTGTAATGTTTTCACCAAGTCCCATGCAAATTCCTATCAGCTGTGTATCTGAAACCATTTGCAAGACAAGAGTGTCAAGGAAATAAATTCCTAAACATGGGCGAGAAAATCCAACATAATTTGTGAGTTGGACGAAGAGCTGGGTTAGAAACAGGAAACAGGAAGTCCTTTTAAGGGAACTAACCTCATCTCCATGCATTTGCAGTTTGTGCTTTGAAACCTTATTAATATTTATATTTGTTTTACTATACTGTTTGTTAAATGTTGACTGACATTTAACTAATATTTTAAAAGTTCACATTTTTCATTCAGTGCTTATGTAAGACTGCTTTCCAGGTTTCTACACGTGCTGCCTGCTTTCAAACTTTGCATTGCAGCTACCAGGTTATCCTGGTCAACCAGTTTTTACAGTGTATGTAAAAAAAAGCCTTCTGTATTTCTTCAAGTTTCCATCTAGGACCTAGTTACATTCACAGGGCCTGTATGCAGAACTGTTTCATTTTTTAGTTGACATAAAAAAGACCAATGAATAAGTTGCGATCACCATGATTTATCCTACTGGGATATGCTGGACTGCTGGTATATGTGGCACAGCCAGCGAAGTAAAATATTTATTAAAATCTGGTGTAGTCGTAAAAAGGCTGGACCAAGATGACATTAACCAAAAAGTCACTGAAACTGACCACAACCTGACCGTAGTGCATAGCAAAGAAACCCAATTGTCAGACCCTAGAAAGTGTCAGCTGTTCCTGTTGCTCTGGCTGCAGTGTTAGGTCGTTATCAGACCCATTGTTTCAAGTGGGCCGAAGGGGATAGTGCAGCCTCAGCATGCCTGAAGTAGTCATCCAGGCACGATCTGTTCGGCATTATTTTCATCGCTGCCGCATCCCAGAAGCCCAGCCAATGGAGGAACTGTAATGTAGCAGTGTCCTTGCAGAGCGCCCCTGTGGCTGGGTTCGCTGAGACTGAGGCCATATCGCCTCTCTGTGGTGTTGAATTAAACTGGGAAACACTGTGGCAAGACGGGTAGATGCTTATAAAGTGAAGGGCTGACCTAGTGAAATTTGTCTGTGTGATGGTGAAAACACTGGGGACAGAGCGCGTAAGCCCTGCTGACTTTCTTGTGTTTTTTCTGTTTCTTTCTCACTTTTCTCCTTGTTAGAGACTCTGTTTCAGTCTCCTCTGCCTCCTCTCGTTTCTCGCAGCCATTCCTTCTGTGCTTCACCCCCTCTGTCTCATCGTTCTCTGCCTCTGCCTTTCTTTTCCTCCCATTTGCTGTGTCACTGGCTCTTTTTTTTTCATTCTGAGTCTTGGTTTCATAAGTTTCATGTCTTGGCCAACAGGCTTAATGGAGTTGCGCCACAGCAACTGAAATCAACAGCAGTTCAAGGCAACTACAGAAATGGACTATTGTTGATTTGTCTATTTGAGGTTAATTAGCTGAAGTAGACTAACTCTACACTAAGAAAGCAGAAATTTGTCAAGCAAAGTATGAGGTCAAAGCAACCTGTCTGAATTGAACCCTTCATCACCCTATTAGTATACTGTTTCCTCCACTATTGCTAATGATTGATGACATTCCCCTGTTTGTAACTGGTAATGCATGTGGGTGGATTCTAGTTTATGCATTTCTGGACAAACTTTCAGGTTACAACCAGGCACATTAAGCTTGCAGTGCAACTCACATATAGTGGTTTCAAAAGCAAATATGCATTGAGACTGAAAGACGTTAGAGGTAGTGATACCTCTGAGATAGAATAGAGTATCTCATTTGCAGGATATTTTCTTATAGTCTAAATTGATTACATTTACAGCACTGCTTTTACAGTTTACAAGATGCTAAGTATGTCTAAACTTGGTGCAAAGTTCAGAGTGAGCTTCAGAAAATTTGATAAAACGTGGGCACTGTGGATCTTTCAAAATCCAGCTGCTAGTGTCTCTGTGTAAACCTCCAAACTATGTTTTCCTGTTCAGAGTAACACTGATAGCAGTGTTAATACAACACAGTGCAGAGAGCCTCTAGATAGTAATCTTCTCCACTGTGACATGCAGCTCAGTACTGAGCAGCAATTCCTTCTCTCTCTTTCCCACCTTCTGGTACCAGAAATCAGTCCTGCATCCCTCTCCGTCCAATTGTTCCTTTTAGCGGGTGAAACATGTCATCTCTCCACTTGAACTCACAGCTGTGAAAACTTCAGCGCAGTATGCATTCAAAAAAGCTCAGTACAGTGAACGGTCCGCCTCCTTTCCATCAGGATACCATGTGCAAGAAGTCTAGATGCATATGTCAGACTGGAGCGACGTGGGACATGCAGGAATTCCCGGATCCCTGCTGTCACTGTTGTGCCTCGATTGTTTCATTTGCATTTTAAGTGGTCAGAGAATTCACTCGGCCCAAAGCTGGCAGAGCAGGTTTGCTGTGTAAAAGAGAGGCTGCAGTTCAGGACGGCTCTCCTTGCACGTTGCACATTACCAGCAAATCCCAGGCACAGGCTTATGGTGTTTGACTTTCCGAAAACGCAAAGGTGACATCATGGAGCTTTCAGAGCTCACAAGTGAAAACCACATGGAAATGGTTTTATACTGAGAGCTGGAGCTACCTGCTCACAATCTCACGGACAAATTCATGCGGTTGACTCTACCTTTGTCCCTAATAGAGAATCTGGTGCAAGGGAACGTGGGGGTGGGCACGAATCGGAGCAAGGCAGCTCTCTCTTCGGCTGTATTTACGTGCGGCAGGTCAGATGTCTGGAAACCGTTGTTGGGAAACTGAGCCGAAAGAAAAACAAACAAGAAGAAAATCAATACACCCTGGCACTGCATCAGTGGGCAAAATGCTCATATTCCCAAACACAGGAAGCTAAGCAGGTATGCAACAACAGTAAATACGTCCAGACACCGATTTGCACCTCTTCCCAGGGTTCCCCCGTGCCTGCATTGCTTCTGCGGCGGTGTCCTGTGTTTTTATGGCTCTTGTCTAGGCTTCACTGTGTATGTACCAGGAGTCCACCGGTGCTGTTCTGCACTTTCACTGCCGTATGTCACAGTCGTGTTTTATCGCAGGCGCAACAACTCGACCCCGCAAAAAGAAAACAAACAAAGAACCTGCCACTGTGGAGATGAATTCAATGACTTAATGACTTGCCCTCAATCGGCTGTGTGTAAGACCCAGCAGCCTAATCTTTTTTTTTTTCCATGGAGGACCTTGCAAGAAACCGGAGCACACCTGCAGTGTTACAGCTTATCCCCTCCTCCACCTCTGCCCCCAACCCCCCCCCAGTCTGTGGTGTGAAAGCCGTTATGTTGTGTGTTTGTTTGACTCCTCGGAAAGACCTGAAGTTCCCCTTTGTTACTGTGTCACAGCAGCTCAGCGCAAGAATTCAAACCACACTGTAACAAGAACAGTATCCAGTGCGCTGCGTACTGGCAGAGATGCCATTGCACAAGGGGGTTCGTTAGCAAATTCGTTATTGCAGCAAACCTGGTGGACTGCCTTGAATGGAACCCTCTCCACTACAAAGGAAGAGTGCTCTTGATAAGTAAACCCGGAAATGTGCAGAACAGCACACTTATAGGCCACAAAACTATGCACATCATTTAATTAAACCCTATTTTTGCTTTTGATTTTGGGCCAACCTGGAATCTGCATGTAAATTTGCAGACATTCGTACCGTTCCTATTTAGACACCTATGTATTTCACTAATCTTTGCGATTAAAAATGAGCATCAGTAGCTATAGCATCGGAATCACTTTCGCAAAAACAATTTCCTCTTGCAGATATCACTGATATGTATTTTGATTGTCTAATGTGCTAACTAATTAATTTAACTCCTGTTTACAACACAAATGGGATTCCAGATACTACGTGCTGAGCAGCAGCCTGCTACAAGTAAAGATGGAGAGACCCCATCGGCTGCTTTCATTAAGCCAGGGAGAGTCAGAATCAGTGTGTTTTCCCCCGTTCACTCCTTTCTCTGTGCGTGATGTTGTTTTGGCAGCTGCACAGCCCTGGACCCACACCGCCCTCCCTGTCTCTCACTCCTCTGACCAGGCCCAGCACACAGTCCACACTGCTGACCTCCTGCAGGCCACCTTCGCACATCACCTTTCTCAGCCTCTGATTCTTGGGACATCTATCAAAACACTCTAGTCCTTTATTCCTCCATATCATTGGTACTGCCGCCATAAGTGTGTATCTGCCTGGTGTGAGTCAAACCCAGTGCTGTGTGTTCATCTGAGCCACTTCTTTGTGTTCAGCAGTGCCAGTTGAAGTTAGTGACAGTTCTTTTTTTCCCTCATGTAACTAATTCAGGACGTGAGTCACTGACAGGGGTAGCTTAGGATAGAGTAGAGGGATATGGGGAGCTCTGTGTCCCTGTTTATCTGACTTTTTACACAGCAAGTTCAGCACAGGGGAAGCTGTCTTTCTGCAGAGTAGCATACAGTAGAGCTGTATTAGAAGTTTAAAATAGTGAAGTCAAGTGAAAAAAGCAGTTTCAATCACTAAATCATTTGCCTACAGTGAATACCAACAACAGACAAAAATCAGTTATATAAAAATGTACTTCCTGTCTCTGTTTTCTGTTTCTCTCTCATAAGTGCAAGGAAGTTAAAAAAAAAATCTTTAAGATCTTTTCTAGCTGGTCTTTTTATTAATGACCTTTGTTATTGTTTTGAGGGTAAGAAAGACACCATTCAGTTAATTGGTGTTAATTGGTAAATTCAGCTCTGCCATACAAAGCGTTGCCTCTGGCCACTTTTAGATGGAGCCCAGATCCCAGGCAAACAGGTGAGATTTGCTATCTGCTGTTTTGTGGCTGCGGTATGGTTTTTTTTAAAGGAACTGGAAAGAAAACACAATACAGCTCTCCGCTCTGATGTGGACAAAGGTCTGTGGGCTAGTAAAGCTGTCCTTTTGGTGAGCCCAGAACGTGTGTCTGCTGTAATCGTCCCCAACAGCAGACGCTCACAGAGGGCTGTCCCTCGAAACTACATTTTCCGAAAAAACGCCAAACAGGTGTCTTGCAGCCAGATACTGTGCTCGGTTTTCGGTTTTGTTTTTGCAGTTTGTAGAAAAAGTGCAATTTGGCTCTGTCTTTTTTTCATTACTATGATGCTATAAATACATCAAAATGTCCTCTGTGCTGTGTGTGCGCTTAGTCAAAGAGGAAGTACAGAGGGCTGTATCACCAAGGTCTCCACTACCACAGGGGGTGGGAGAGGGGGATGGGTGATTTCTGGTAAATTACACATTGCTCCCCTGGGGATGAGTTAGGGTGAGGTTTGTAATCTGCTGCTGAAATGAAAGATCTCAGGGCATGTTTTCTTTCTGAAGTTCTGTGTTCCAAAGGATATATTGGCACAGTTATAAGGAGCTGCCATCTGCTCTTTGACACAGCCTTACAGAATGAAATCTGGGGTGGAACCTCCCCACGTTCAGTGACTCTGGAGCTGATGCTGATGGATTTGGGAAGATGAAAGCTGGCACTTACTTTCAAAAATGTGTCTTCCCTGTTCGCAACCTGTCTTTAGGTCTGTGCTTTTGAAGGGTTCAAACCTTTGTCATCATCAGCTAGAAAGGCTGCCTAAGAGTGGAGGTGATGAGTCAGCATTTTTAACAACATTGGCCAAATAAACCCCACTGAGATTCATTATTTCAGTTCATGAATGGAGCCATGTGGCCTCTGTTGACATAATGCTGCTCTCCTGCAGCCAGAATACCTGGAATGTCCATGTTACAGATAGTTGCAGTATATCACTGCTTAGAACTCCTCTGACACAATGCAATATGGTTTGACATTCGGTTTTGTGGTTTGGAGAAATGTGGCACTGTATTTTTTTTGTGAATTCCCTTTTTTATTAGATATCAAAGTCCATCTTTCAGTATCGGGCCCAGGAAGCTGTTTCAAATGTTATTTGGGCTAGAACGGTTTTTAATTTCATATGTGATTCAGCCTCAGGACGGGAAAGGTAATACAGTCACCCAGCAGGATCTGTCTGTAGGATCGACGGTGGCCAAGTGCTATTAAATGAAAGCTTTCCTATACAAATGACTCTTGGGTGTTGCCCAGTTTTTGTGAAAGTTTCTTTTCTGCTTCATGATTTTACAGGGTTGCTTGAGGTTCTTTGCTTCTGTATTAAATAAATGATGTTGTACCGCCCCCACAACTTTGTCTGCCCTCAGCCAACCATGATGGGTGACTCTCTACATAACTTTTTCAAACTGTTGGACAGGGGTCCCAGTTGCTGGGGGTAGCCCCCGCCCAGCAAGGGAATCCCCTCACCCGACAGGACTTACCCCACTAGATTAGCCTCTGCCCATTCAAGAACGCAAAAAGCACAGAGAGAGGCTCTGGTGAACAGTACAGTGGAATTTGGAATGTGTGATTGGACAGGCATTTTCATTTAATCTGTATCGTCTTCCAACAGTTTCAAACACATTGGCATCACATTAAAGTGAAATATTGCGTGTGTGAAAACTGTTCATATCACCCAGAAGAGAAATGTTAGCTTAAGTCGAAGCGCTTCAATTTCTAAACAGCAATCAGCTGCTTCCATGAGTTTTGTTTTTTTGAAAGCGTGTCTGTTGACACTACTGTAACCCAGGCTTTTGGCCCAGTGACATTGTCGTCATGGAGACTGGGAGGGGGAACTGGAAGGTGTGTGTTATGGAGTGGGGGATTAAGAAGGGTTATAAACGAGAGGTGGACATTTGGCTCTTCTGACCCATTTGGTTAGTTCGTTGCAAATGAGCTATTAACTGATCCGAGGAACTCATCCTCTCATCTGGCTGTTTCTTGAAAGAAGCAACAACATGGTTTGTTAGCCTTTTCCATTCCCCCACAACCCTCTGGGCAAAGAAGCACCTTGTCTTCTTATTTGTAATTGCAGTTTAATTTCCAGCAGGCAATAACTCAGGTTTTGGGAAAACTTGTGACGGGACTTAGCAGGCAGGATTGTTTATTTCAGGTGAGTGGTTTGGGACAGTTCCAGAGAGGACCGTAATTCATCCTTGGCTGGAACACTTGCCTCCACCTGATGTTGCTTTCCATCCTCCAACCAATCAATGGCACCAAGGCATGATTACCTGATCGGTGCACTGTATTCATTCCTTTCTGTGAGTACCTATTGATCAGGATTGACATTCAACAGGTTAAATCACCAGGTCACCTGTGCCCAATCTACACCCCTCTTGTCAATGCAGAGATTCAGTGCTTAAGCAACACTCAAAGACACTGGGGATTATTGTGGATTACTCTGTCATCAATGATCAGTTAATTAAAACGATGCCATGAATATTTAATCATCTTCCAAAATAAGTATACTTTACTTTTCTAAAACATCCCAAAATATAGTGATAGATCTCTTTAGATTCTCGGTATATGTATATAAACTGAAATGCACTCCATTACCTATTGACTAATTTATAGCACTTCTGTTTCTGAAGTTTGTTGTCTTTTGTCACACCTACTGTTGTATGTGTACTGCATCTCTGTTTTTGCTTACTTTTAGGTTGTTTGCCATGCAAACTAACTTTTCCAACTAAAAAAGAAGATTCTGGAAAGACTTCTTAAAGGCAGATAACCCAGTTTCACTCTTTAAGGGGGCAGTTCTTCAGTGCACTGGTGCAAGTGGATGGACTCTGATTCAGTTTCCTGGTGCCCTTCCTTTCCCTCGGCTTTGAGTGGACTGGCCAGTCAGCTGTGTCCCTTCAGTGATCAGCCATGGCCTGAATTAGGGTCAGGGTTACCACCAGCCAGTTTTCACA